CGCCGCGCGTCTGGGGTCCGCCGCGCCCGGGCAGCGCGTCCCGGTGTTCTGCGCGCTGGGGCAGCGTCGCCGAGCCCTCTCCACCCGACGCCTTGGAACCAGGTAACCGAGGGCGGGGGGCCTGGCCGCTGCCGCCTGGCCCCCAGCACCCCCCACCCCCCGCCCCCAGCCTCGGGGTCCTCGCACCCCTATCTCCGCGGCGGTCCCGCACCCGTGCTCCCCGGAGCGGGCACGCGGCTCGGCGGGCAGGTCTTGGAAAGTTTGCAGCGGGCCGCGGGCAAAGGCGGCTCCTCTCACCGCACGCCCCAAGTCTGGTCTCCTGCCTCGCGGGGCGGGTGCGGGGTGCAGGGGGCGCGGCGGTCGCGGTGGGGTGCCTCGGGTCTCCCCTGAAATCGCTGATCTTCGCCTTCTCACTTTTTTCATCTCTCTTCTGAGCGTTTGGTCCCTCCCGCCCGTCCCTTAGCGCTTAAAAATCTTTGGCTGGGAACTGGCTGCAGAGCTGGTGATTTCTTAAGGAATGTTTACATTTGTGCTTCCCGCCTCCTTGGGCCAGATGTAAGATAGGAAGACCCGGCTGAGCGAGATGGGGTTCCAGTGAGGGGGCCCCAGCTGGGCCCTGATGAACTGGGTGTCCCCCACGGGGAGTTCCTGGTTTCTGAATTTGGGCATCCTGTTCTCCCCAAGCACTCCCCCAACCCAGTCAGGAGAGCAGAGGAAGAGGGTGGCCTTGGCAAGGCAGAGCACAGATCTTGCTGATCTGAGCAGAAGGGGATGCCCAGCTTAGGCCTCGTGGAGGGCTCAGCTCAGGGTGGGGTGGGCATGAAAGATGCCCCATCCGGTGGGGAGCCAGAGAGAAGAAATGCCGGCAGGTCAGTAGATGGACAGCTAATGTCTCTAACAAACGTACATCTCTGACTCATTTTACCTCCCCTCCCCCCCCCACTATTCTGTTATTCTAATGGTGGATGATAGAAGAATGAAGCTTACAGGGGTAAAGTACCTTGCTGGGGAACCATGGTGGGTCTGGCCCTCAAACCACCGCCTTCTAGAGCCACATGACCAGTTTGCCATTTTTTTTGCTGGGACCCTGACTCTCAGGGATTCGTTTCTTCTCCCTTCCTAATTGTATTGGGTACTACCCCCCTCCACTCATCCCCCACCTCTACCTCCTACCAGACAGGAGAGGCCACCTCCAAGGAGAAATCAAATCTAGCCAGGAGACCCCTCCAAGTGAGAGCCAGGTCCTTGCAGGTTTCCCAGACTGCAGGGGCAGGAGACTGCAGTGTTAAGTTGGAAGTCATAGCACCTGCCCTGGCTGAATTAAGGGAAGACTGGGGATTTTCCTAGCTAAGAGATCTCTACTCTTACAGCCCAGAGTGGGTGCTATGGAAATTTGGACCAGAAAAGGCACCCCATGCAGCTTGCCATGCTGACCCACTGAGGGCAGCAAGATCTAAACCTCACCCCAGGGGTCAGACCAGGACCAAGCAGAGGCAGGGGGAATCTCATGCTTGGCCCTGTCCTAGGTTGACGGTCAGGGAAGTTCAGCGATCCTCGTCCCATCTACACCAGGAATCTTTTTTGGAAACATTCCTCTTCATTGCCACTTCCTCTCCTTGCTACTCCACGGGGCAGCAGTGAAATGAGGGAAGGAAGGGAATTTAATTTTCAGCACTTCAACTTTTCATCTATAAGACGGGGACAGTGCGTAGGTGGTCCAAAGGGCTTTGCAAGCCTTAGCGCAAAGTCTAAGGGTGACTGTTACTTCCTCACGTGCCTGCGCAGTCACCTGACCACCCTCGGGACTGTGGATTCATCTGGGAGGCACCCAAGCATCGTGGTACTCCTCAGAGAGCTGGCCTCATGGTCAGCACACAGTAGGTTCACAGTGGGTATTTCTGGATCAAAAGCAGCCTCAGTGGGAAGAGAAATTGCTAAACTGGGTGTGAAGTGGAGAGTTTTTAATCCTCCTCTTCCTTCTGTAGGGAGACAGGGCATTCCACCACACATGGAGAGCCCCAGGGGAGGGCTCAGAGGCCCTGGAGGCAGAGGTGATCAGGGCGTAATTCATCCAAGGCCAAGGCCAAGGGGGATGTAGAAGACTTCATGGCCCTGCCTTGAGGACTTTCAAGGTCCTGCCAGGCGCCATATTCCCCAGACTCAACTGACCCAGTGTCTGTTTGGTCAGCGCATGGTCTAGGACGCTTACAATATCATTTCTGACCCTTGGAGAAATCACAGTTCTGATCCAGGACACTTACAAAATCAGTTCTGAACCTTGGCGTCCAGCCCCCACACCATCCCCCCACCCCAACCCTATCTACCTGGTACAGCTTTTTTCAGTTCTCAGGTTCTTAACAAGAATCCAGCAGAGTAAGAGCTTTTGGCAGAGAATTTCTTTTTCAGTCTGAATAAGCCTTCGAACCCATAGCTGTACACTTACTCCCTGCTTTGTTTTCCATTGCACTTACCACCACATAATATCCGGTGTATTTCACTTTTTAAATCTTGCTGATTGCCCCTCTTCCCTGTCAGAATATCAGCTCCGGGAGGGCAGGGCTCTGTCTGTTTTATTCACTGCTGTCTCCCTGGGTCTCTGTGCAGTGCTTGGTGAGTGACAGGGCTCAGTTCAAGCGTGTTGAATACATAAACAATCCAGCTGCTCTTCCTCGTGTGTAGATGGGGAGACTGAGGTACGGAGACGACGCGTGACCCTTGGAGGCAGGAGCTCTTCCTGACTAAACTGGAGCCTGTGCAAAGCTGCATCTCTGTCCCCTGTGCCAGGGCACCTTGGCAGACGGCTTCCAGTGACTAGAGGCTGAACAGATGACCCCCAGTAGGGCGATTTGGGAGCCAGGAGGAGTACCACTCATCAGACCTCACCCCCAAAAGAAACCTTCCAAGTCTGCTCTCCAAGGTGGGCCATGTCTCTATTGGGGTGAATGGAGCACCCTCACTGGGTAGCTTTAAAATTCCCTAAGCCTCTACTGGAGAACAGACAAGGACAAAAGACAGCTCTAGGGGGTGGGGGCGGGGCCTCAGCTCCACTGGGTCAGGGAAAACATTCTAAGACGTCTAGTCTAAGAAGTGCAGCCAGTTGTGTGTCAGGAAGGGTGAGGACTGGGTGGTATCTCAGGCCTTGGAGGCATAATGGGGTTCCTTTGTCCAAGATGACCCTTGGGGGGAAAGAGAGGGTCAGCGTTCACCTGGGTGGGCTGCGACCCCGAGCCTCCATGTTCTGCTGCCTCAGTCCAACCCCGGCGGCCACACAGATCAGATAGGTTCCGTAGGGTGGAGGCATGGCCCTGGCAGAGGAAGCTGTTCTGGGGCTTTGACGTACATTCATGGGGTGTTGGCTTTTACCCCAAGCCCTGCTATTTGTCCCCAGATATTTTGTCATTGTCCTTGTGTTCTGCCAGATTAAGAGTGACATGCACCTGAGCTTTACTGTGGAGCAGGGACTCCAAAAGTTGAAGGGCAAAGTTGAAGGATGTGTAGGAGTTAGCTACGGGTGGAAAAATTGGGGAGCGAGGGGAGAGGGCAGTGGAAGGCACAACGATGACGCAGTGAAGAAGTCACTCTGCAATGGTAACACCCCTTGTCTCTGAGGTCCCAGGCTGCCCTGCATCTTTGCCCCCCAACCATTTCCTAGGGAGTCTCATCCCGCTAAGAGGGGGAGGCCCTGACCTGTGCGCAGCTCGCACATGCCTTCCCTGGCCTTCTCCTGTCACTGCTGCCATTGCAAATGTGCTGGTCACATTGCAAATGCGAATGGAAAAGTACCCCCTGTGACATGAAGTGAGTCAGTACTTCATAAATAAGGGGTTGCACCATCAGAGGTTTGGACCTACACCCTGGTGTGTGGCCCGTGAGTGGAGATGTGGCGTTGGTTCCTAGGGGGAGAAGGACAAGAGTGACTCAAGACTGTATCTTGAAATGAAGGATGGCCATGTGGCACCCAGAGATGTGAGAGATGCCAGTTTTTTGGAATCCAGAAAGACAGTGTCTCTGGTGCAATGATCCAAGGTTTCATTCCCACCCGTACCCTATCTTAGAGTTGTCCTCACATCTGGCCTTGATGCCAGGCCAGTACCACCCACTGCTTGCTTTGTGGAGGACTGAGCGGTAACTTTTGCTTAAGCCTCCAACGGGCATTTTACCTGGAAACACCACAGCCCCTGTGGCATTCTTCCTCAGTTATTGGGGAGCCCTGTGGCTGAGCTGACCTCGGGAGGGCTCATTTGAGCCTGCCAGGGGCACAGAACCCAGCCTTCATGGCCTTCTGGATCCTGCGCTTCCAAGCTTAGCCACTCTCCCAGCTTGCTGCCTGCCATTGAGATGCCCACTGCCCTCTTGCGACCCTCTTGAGACTGGTGTGCCCGATGGGGGCCCGGGATTCTAATTCTGACACCCCTAACCCTAGGTGTGCTTTGGCCACCACTCCCTGTGCCTCAGTTTCCTCACCTGTAAAAGACACAACTTACATCAGGATTTCTCCACCTCAGCCTTGTTGACAGTTGGGTGGGATAATCCTTTGGGGCAGGGCTGGCCTGTGCAATGTGGGGTGTTTGGCAGCGTCCTTGACCTCTACCAGTGAGATATGAGTAGTGCCCCCTCTTCCTTTGCGACAATCAAAGATGTCTCCAGCTGTTACCAGATGTCCCAGGGGCCAGATCGTCTTTGGTGGAGGCCACTGGGTTAGGTGATCCCACGGTCCCTCCCAACCGTGACAGTTTCTTCCTTTAGCCCCTGTTTTGTATAAGCAGACTGTGGGTGAATGAAGAGCATATAGGTGGAGGGCCCAGGGACTCAACAGGGCGGATGAGTGACTTGAAAAGGTAAGGCTACGCGCCCTCCGGTCTCGTGCTGAGAGCCAATGCCAAGATCTCTTTGCCTCTGGACCTTGGGGTTATGTAAGAAGGTGGGGGTGGGGAGCAGGCCTGTGGTTGGCCTGCACTAAGGTCAGTCGCCTCCCAGCTGGTGACTAATCATCTGTATCTGTCTTAAGAGCTTGGCTTCTCCTCCACAGCCCCTCTTCAAGCTGCCCGAGAAGGGACGCAGGAAGTGAATCAGCCGACCCACCACTGGGCAGTAGAGGAAGA